GTTGTTGTTGTTGGTTAAATTTTAAGAAAATCGGAATTTGTTTATTTCGAGTAAAAGTAAAGTAAAAGTTGAAGAACCGAAGAGCTGCGCGGCCAACGGCAGAATTAAATGCTGATCGACAGTCGCAGAAGTCAGACACGAAGCGACGCGATACGCGAGTTTTCGTACAGATCAGACTCAAATATGTGGAAGAGTAGGAATAGCAGAAGCAACATAATGCCTGCCATTATGTATGTGTTAAGTGTGCTGCTGCTGCTGGCTGCAGTCTGCCTGCAGCGGGAAGTGGAGTGTGCAACGTCTACTGCATCGCCTCGCACTGCCCGCATAATGCAGTTCCTGAGGGAGCCCCCACCCAGCTTCCATGCCAATCGCCGTGTTGGCGTTGGCCCAGGGCAAGGGCCACGCCTGCGACCAAATGGAGACAACTTGAGGCCACCAACACCCTGGCGACCACCGATGCCACCGCCAGTGCTCGCTGGACAGCAGCTGCTGCGGCGTGAGTTCAATGGCAATTGGCCCTATGCTGGCAATGGCGGCAACCGCTTTGCCCACTCCAAGGATGCGGCGCCTGTGCTGGATGTGGGCAAGAATCAGTTCTATCGGCCCAAGGAGGCGCCACAATTCAACTACAATGTCAACCAGTATACGCCGAATTTCAAGGCCTCGCCGCCCCACTACAACGTGAACAAGGAGCAACCGCAGAAGTTTCCAGGATATACACCAATCAAACAATACGCCATACCAATGGAGGCCAGCAAATATGTGGCCAACTATGCCGAGACACCGACCAAGCAGCCTCAGCAATTGGCACAAGCTGCCAGCGGCTATGCCGTCTACGAAGACACAGACAATGTGAAGAATGTCGCTCCATTTGCCAACAACTATCAGCAGACCTCGCAGCTGTCCAAGGAAGCGGAAAGCTATTTGCATTTCATGAGTACCAATGATTATTTCCTGCCCAGACGCGAGCCCAACTACAAGCAGCTAGACTTGGAGCGTGATCAAATCAACTACCAGCAACAGAGACTGGTTCAACAGCAGCAGCAGCAACAACATCAGCAACAACAGCAGCAACAACAACATCAGCAACAGTTGCTGGATAGCAGCGTTTCATCCAGCTATAACAAGCCTTTGCGAGTCGCAGATCTCTTCTATCAGCAGGATCCAGCACCGCATAGTTCGACTGTGGTGCGCGGCAGCTATCAGGCAGGACAAAATGCCTTTGTTGTCAAGTCGGATGGCAATAAGTCTGTGAAGCACATCTTGTCCACTTCGTTGACACCGCGCACTACTCAAGTGCCACCAGCGTCGACGTACAGTCATGTCCGGCATGGCGCACAGAAGACAGTGACTCCCGAGCCAGTGAGATTTGAGTTTACGGAGCACGATGCGATCAGAGGCTCGGCTAGTTATACGAATGCGCCACATGGACAAAAATATTACTACGAAACCCACACAGCTGCACCACCACCACCGCAAACACCCGCTGTGAGCGTGGCGCCCATACCCGAGAGCGTGGCCCCCGTGAAGGAGGAGCCAAAGGAGAGCGCCGAATATGACAACAAGGTGAGTCTATTTCTTGCTCATTTTAGTATTTTCTCTTCAAACTAGATAACTCAAAAATAGAAAGAAAAAAAATAATAATAACAGTGCGGCTGCGGCTTTATCAGCTGAACATTTGATCACAATCTTAATGACTGTGAAGAACATGGCTACTTTCCATCATTAACAAATGCCAAACACTCCATTAAATGTCTCGGCTCACAACTTTCTTCCCGCTTCGGATGCTTGATATCAATCAAAGTACTGCGGTAGCGATCATAAAGTTTTAAATCAGCCTTAATTTGTTTCCAAATTTCAACATTTTCGAATAGTCAAATTTTCTAATACTTTCACCGTCTTACCAGAAACTAGAAGACAATCTAAATAGCTTTGAATTAAGTTATTTTAATAATTAAAGATTTACACATTAATTACATTAATATAGGCATCATCTTCAGTCTTGCCTCCCGCTCCATCTCTCATTCCTTCTAATTTAATTATCCTTATTTGTTATTAAAATAAAAAACTCTTTTAATTTCAGGACAACGACTATAAGCCAGCGCCAACAGCGTTTTCACCCGAATCCTCAGCCGACAGCCAACAGGACAATGACGCTCATTGCGAGAAAATTTGTGCGAAAGTCTATGATGAAAATGATGAAATAGTTTGTGGCTCTGACGGATATATGTATACGGGAGAAACCCAATTGGAGTGTTATTCGACATGTCTAAATATCAGTGAGTTTTTCTATATTTTATGTTAATTAATTAATTATTATATATTTTATTTTTATAAATTACAGAGGTGTCGATAAAGAGCAAAGGGTCATGTGCTTAAAAGTACAATTTAAATGAATTCGATTAATTTATTTGTTTAGTTGTAATATTTATTTTAAAGTAAGGTTATTTATTTTTATTTTAAGAAAAATAAAGCATGTCATTTAAACTTTATAAAAATCATGTTTATGATTCAAACCAGATTTTCTATAAAAAATATATTTTAAAATTATGCTTTTATCATTAAACATACAAGCTTTCAGTGGTATTACTTACCGTCATCGGAAACGATGATGATGGCTACTGCTATTCCAAATCGGTTCATTATTTACAAATTTTAAACGCGCGCGCGCATTGTTTGGTTAGTTCCATAACGTAGTTTTCGTCGTGCTCACGACCTATCGATAAAGGTAAATAAATAAATAAATAAACAATTAAAGAACAAATTTCAAGAAAGGAGGTAACTAAAATTTGTATACAATGCTTTTTATTTATTTTAATTGATTTTAATTGTTTAGCATTGTTAACATGAAATCACTAATAAGAATACCCTTAATGCACTTGAGGTCAAATGCAAGTGCTTGATACCGTGATTTGTTATCACGAATATATCGCAAATCCGAATACAAGTTATCGGCCTATCGAGACGATAACAACATTGGCGAAAACAAAGCACTTTGCGTATATTATAATTTTTGGCAGTATTTATTATCAATTCGCTTAAATAACGTCGCAGTCGCGCATTAAACCATCTCTATATACCCAAGTTTTGTTCGCCTGTTGCGTGTGTGTGGAATTTCTTTTGCATGTTGGATAAACTAAAGCAAAAGGAAATCTCTACACTGAGGCAACTACGCAACACCCTGCGACCTCGACACGCAGCCAGTGCAATATATTGAAATGCAAAACTACGGCGCTGGAGCTGCTGCTGCTGCAGCTCCAGCCGTCAAGCGCCGTACGGACAGCTACGAAGCTGCACAAAACCATCCACATACGCCCAGCAGTGGCGAAAACTCGCGCTGCGAAAGCGATGATGACTATGTGAACACAAGGATCTTGCGGCAGCGTATGGAACAGCAGTCGACGCCTGTGGTGACAGTGGCGCCAAACATTGTCACAGCCAGTGTCTCAGCAACGCCAGCATCAGCCCAGGGTCATGTCGAGCAGCCGCAGTTTCCAACGGCCACAACCTCTGCAGCGTCATACAACGAAGAGCGCATGCGACGCAAGCTGCAGTTCTTCTTTATGAATCCCATCGAGAAATGGCAAGCGCGCCGAAAGTTTCCCTACAAATTTGTGGTGCAGGTAAAGAACAAAAAACACTCAAACATTCTCACTCAGAAACCTGCCTCCCAGTTCCACTCATCTGGTCGAACTTTGCTCACGTGATGGCCGTGCCGAGGGGGCGAATTCTCTGTTCGTGTGACACATCTTTTAAACAATGAAATTGTTCTGCCCGCGGCAAAAATATTGCTCAACATTTATGCCGTTTGTAAGGCACTTAAAATTGAGCACCTACCTACAACTATCTATTTTGTTTAAACAATAGCCGATGATTACACACCCATACACTTACATCAACCCTACCTGGCCTTATCTCTGATTCTAACTATAAAGAAACACGTAATACACTTACTTTAAAGCACTTACTTAAAAGCATTTACTTAGCCACATGATAAATAATTGTTTCGACTAGGTACTTTTTTCTAAGGCCATGATTAATAGTCTGCGTCGTAGCTATTCCTATATAGAAAATAAAAAAGAAATGATAGATATGAATATAAATATGTATGTATGGCTAGATAGAGAGTATTTTTAGTTCGCCTTTATCACTAGAGACATATACTATATGTACTCTTTCTATATATGTACTATATATGTACTCTTTCCCACACAGAGATGATTCCACGAATAATTAGCACAAATTTTTCGTCTACGTCAACAATCTAATCAATTGTTTAATTACTTTGCAAACAAACAAACATATTTATGTAAGTGCGCTCGCAGCTTTTGTGCTTCTAGAACAATAGACAGATTCAAGAGGACTAATTAGGATAAATAAAAATGATCTTTTAGATATAAAGGTATATAGAGTTTATGTAGTTTTACTTTAGCATTTTATAGAATTCTCATCTTTTTTGTTGTTTGATCAAAATATCTATAATAATATACTATGCCTGAGTTGTTGTTCCTCTAAATTTCATGAGAAACGCAATTAGCGGTTTCTGTTTGCTTAAATCGATTCGAATTTAACTTATTTCTTTGTTGCTTTCAGATCGTGAAGATAATTTTGGTGACGATGCAGCTTTGCCTGTTTGCGCATTCCCGTTACAACCACATCAACTATACGTGGGATAATCGCATTGCCTTCTCGCATCTGTTTCTGAAGGGCTGGGACTCGTCACGTGAAGTTGAGAGCTATCCGCCTGCCGTGGGACCATTTGCATTGTATGAGAAGTCGGAGTTCTTTAACACGGTCCAGTTTGCTTTGGACGGCTATGGCAATGTCAGCCGTTCGATTGGACCCTACTTCTATCCCACCGCTAACAATACGATGCCACCGTTGACGCTCTGCATGCAGAACTATCGAGAGGGCACAATATTTGGTTTCAATGAGTCATATATCTTTGATCCACATATCTATGAGCTGTGCGAGAAACTGCCGCCAAATGTATCCAGCATTGGAGTCGAGAAATATTTATTAAGTCAAGGCGTGGAGGTGAACTTCGCATCGCTGGTTACAGCGGAGCTATCGTTCCATATTAAAACCGTGAATTTTAAGGCCAACTCGGGGGCCTTGTCTGCGCCCGATTGCTTTAGGTTCGACATAGCTATACTGTTTAATAACCGGGATCACGACGGCCAAATGCTGTTGTCACTCGATGCTGAAGCTACGCGCCTGAAGTGCAAGGGCGACACGGACTTCATTTCGGAGGCACGATTCGATGCCATATTGAGGAGCAGTCTCAATATCTTTGTGCTCCTGACCTGCGCCCTCTCCTTTGCCCTGTGCACTCGCGCTCTCTGGAGAGCTTACCTGCTGAAGTGCACCACCAAAAACTTCTTCCGCTCTCATTTCGGCAAGGAACTGAGCTTCGATGGAGGACTGGAGTTTGTCAACTTTTGGTTGGTGAAATAAATGCTATATATATATTGATATATACTGACTATCTGTGTCTTCTAGGTATATTATGATCATCTTTAACGATGTCTTGCTAATGATCGGCTCGGCGCTAAAAGAACAAATCGAAGGCCGTTACATGGTTGTCGACCAGTGGGATACCTGCTCACTGTTTCTGGGCATTGGCAATATGTTGGTGTGGTTCGGTGTGCTACGCTATTTGGGTTTCTTCAAGACCTACAATGTGGTAATACTCACTCTGAAGAAAGCTGCACCGAAAATTCTACGCTTCCTAATCGCTGCACTGCTGATATATGCGGGCTTCGTGTTCTGCGGCTGGCTTATATTGGGCCCATATCATATGAAGTTCCGATCGCTGGCCACAACCTCTGAGTGCCTTTTTGCGCTGATCAATGGCGACGATATGTTCGCAACGTTTGCGACGCTGTCCAACAAGGCCACCTGGCTATGGTGGTTCTGTCAGATCTACCTGTACTCCTTTATCTCGCTGTACATCTACGTTGTGCTATCGCTGTTCATCGCTGTCATTATGGACGCCTACGATACGATTAAGACGTACTATAAGGATGGGTTTCCCGTCACCGATCTCAAGGCATTTGTGGGCACACGCACCGCTCTTGACATCAGTTCTGGTGTCTTCATGAACGATCTGGATGACTTCGAGCAGACGAGCTTCGTGGATGTGGTGCGAAACCTGTGCTGCTGCACGTGCTGCAGTCGACGCCAGGAGACAACCCAAGGCAACAGCGGCTACACGAGCCTATCGAGTATTATGAAATAGTTTGATTCGCCATAGAATTTGCAGGTGTTTGTTTGTTTGTTGTCTTCGTCATGTCTTTTAGCTTAATTCAAATTGTTGTTAGATTGTTGTGATTCGATTTTACTTTTACATGTTTGCGCCAAAGCTAAGTGCTCAACAAAGAGCCCAAAAGTACGTACCAACAGAAATTCCAATTGTCAGCTTCATTTCTGGCAAATTACTTTAAATTCAAATAAACTTTCTGATTAAACAATACGCAAGATATTAAAGCACAGCCTACCAAGCATCTGTATGTGATATAATACAGAAGAACCATAGAACCAATACTAGAACATGGGAATTTGATTAGAAATGCAACAGGATCTTCCATGTGAACAATACATAAAAAAAAAACTAGTTTACGTACAAAGTAAGAGTCACTTGATTGTGCAATTATATACATTATAGTGTATATGGACTTTCATATAATATTAATCTATGTATGATTACAATGAAACGCTTGTAAAATATCTAAAATAAATATAGCCAAATGTTGAATTGAATTCAAATGTTTTTTTTTAATTTTAATTGGGTTTACTCTTGAGTTGCCGATAATATACCATATCTACAGTTTTCCGAGGTGGATAAAAGTTGACGTGCTGTGCAGAGATATTACAATGATATAAAAATAATATGTTAGGGTCTTGGTAAAATCGATAATAAATCGAACTACAAAATAGGTAGAGTTAGGATTTTTAAAAGGCAGTATACTATCGCTGAATGCTGGCATAATACATATGTATTATAAATACATATATGCATGTATATTATTCTTGCCAGCTTTATTTGAATGTTAGAAAAAACGTATCCAATGCTACTCATATAAAATTTATATAAAATCAATAAAATGAATATATAATAAACATTTAGAGACTCTTTCACTAAATTAATCAAAATAAACGGTTCCATATCGTTTGATAAGCTTTGCACCCATAAAAAACGCACAACAAAACATTCAATTCGTGTTTCTCGTATTTCTAATGTTTGTTCCGTCAGCAAATAAATGTAATTCAGCATTGCTTATAAATGAGCCAAGCTGGCCAAAAAGCCAATGGCCAACCGGCCCACTCGCCATTAGCACCTTTAATAGTCCATTGAGCAGCGGACATTAGGCAACAATTGAAGCCTCAAACCAGAGAGAAAATCGAAAGTTTTTCGCATAGCGAACCCATTGAAAATGGGAAGCCAGGGAATAATGGTTTTGTGAAATGTAGGTAACAGGCTGAAGGAGGCACGGTAAACTCAATTAAACCTTGTCCATCAGGTTTGCTTTAAAGACTTTTTTAAAAGTATTTCCTCCAAGAATTTCCTCTATATATTTCCTTTAAATATTTCCTCTAAATATTTCCTCTAAATATATCCTCTAAATATTTCCTCTAAATTTTTCCTCTAAATATTTCCTCTAAATATTTCCTCTAAATATTTCCTTCATAAATTTCCCATAAGCCTTTATGCTTAGCTGAACGATCATTAAGTATTTGCACTGTACGAGTGACCCCCACCAGGCCTGGGAGACTGAAGAAATGCTGCAGCTGCTGCCCTTTATATAGGGCGCCGTTTGCTCAGAGCCTAGGTCGCGCTCCATCTCCATCTCTGCGCTAGGTAGAGCTCATTGCAGCTGAGCGTTAAGTGACCAATGGGAAAGGAACACTCTCTGCTGCTGCAGAGGCATTCGAGCTTCGCTTTACTTAAATATAAATGCCCAATGAATACTGCTGCATACACATAGACAACTGAATTGATTTGTTGATAGGCTGAGAGGTAAACGGAGAGTACAGACTGTGAGCTACACTGGCAGACAGGCTACGCTTATTACGCTGCTCAAGCATATTTATGCTGGGTCTGGTGTGTTGCCCGCGCAGATCGAGTTTTTTTTCCAAAAATTTGATAACTATTTTTTTTCTTTATATTTTTATTTAAAAATCAATAATTATTTCCTTTATTTATTTCGAGTAAAAACCTGTGTATGCAGAAAGTTGGAAATAGAAGTAGAAGTTTTTTTTAATTGTTTTATGTTAGATTTTATTTTAAATGGATTCCTTTCTTTTTTTTGTCAATTACAAATGTTTTTAATATTATTTTGCGTCTATTGTTTGTTTTTTTTTCTCTTCTCTGTTTTTTTATGTGTTTTTTTTAGTGAGACCTTTTAGACGTGCATCAAAATCGTATTTTTTGTTTTCTTTTCAAACAGCATTTTGATTTAAAAATGTTTATTTTTCTGTTGCTTGTAAATAAAATAATATCTGCATTATTTGTATTGTTTAAAGTATTAAATGCCTTTCATTGCGTTTTCATTTTAATATACTATATATAAATATGCAGTGTATATATAATTTATGGTTTTTCTTTTCGTTTTCTTTATTTTTAAATTACATTTCACAAAATACAATTCACAACTACACTTGACGTCAAGTTACTGGTTTCTGGTTTCTGTGTGTAACTAATCCCTTCAATCACGCTCGCTATATCATCTATCGATCTGAACCCAAATCCATTATGTTTTTTTTTTGCTCGTTTTGTTTATTTTAAATTTTAAATTTCTTGTTAAAATTAAAAAATCGTATACATGCGCAAATTGCAATCAATTTTTGTTCATCAATTTAGAAAATGAATTTTCAATCACAAAAAATCAACGTAAAAATGGATTAATTTTAATTTTAATCTGTTTTCGTATTCGTATTCATTTTCTTTAAATTTTTTAATTTTTTTTTTTTTTTTACATTTCATTTACGTATATTCGTTACACTTGTTTAGCCTTTAATATATATATATTTGTGTATATATATATAGTATAATTTATTATGATAAAAGCGTTAACTATTTACGCTCAAAACTAAATTTTTCAAATGCCGAAATTCTAAGATTTCCTCACAAATATTTTCCACATTCCAAACTAAAATCTACTATTAATATTTTGCAATATATAATATATTTATATATTAATTTTTATTTTTGGTTTATTAAGCTTATTAACAACATCGAATAGTACGCGTATTTTTTGTTTGTTTTGTTATTGTTTTGTTTTCAATATATGTA